CGAGAGGGTGGGGTGGCCCTGCGGCTGCTGAGGGCTCCTGACGTCGACAGGAAAAGAGGACCGAATTTTCTAAAGAAACCCTGGTTTAAGTGGCAGTCGCGGTGCCTGCGACTCTGCAAAGGTGTGCGATGCCTTTTGTATCGGCCCCACCCCAGCAGAAAACGCGTCTCTGAAAAAAGAACGCTGTTCTGAGAAGAAACGCTCAGGATGTGCTAGGTGTGGGGCCATTCCCCACCGAGATGGGAGACAAAAACAACAGAGGTGGGACGTTCACGAATGGGCGAGGGCAGCTGAGGTGTGTGGTTCTTGCTCTCTAATTCAACTTCCTTAGAAAACTTTGTGCTCCAGTAAGCAGCAGCGGTTGCTGCAGAGCAGCTTTTCTCCTCCTCCTGTCCAGGGTTACCAGCCCGTTGGGGGAGGATCCTGGTGCACAGCGCTTGCTGGCGTCTCCCTGTGTTACGGGTCGGGCAGGACAGCCAGCCACCCCTTTGGGGGTCCCATCGGGTCAAGCTGTTTGTGGTCAGGTTATTTTGAGAGGGTTGAGGACAGGCTTGCAAAGACAGTGAAGGCAGCGGAGCGAGACAGCGCAGCCACCGGGGATCTGAATGCTGAGAAAGGCAGAAGGGAAGGTGGTTTAGTTTGTGTTAAAACCAACTGGTAATTGGTAGGAGCCTGTCCAAGAGGTATTGTGTTTTCACCAAAGGATGCCCAAAGATCTGTCTTCTCTCTTTGTAACCAAAGCTTGTAAAAGCTGTCCTTCAGCCTTTCCAGAGCTCTGCAGGATCTGAAATTAAGGTAATGTATTGGGCATAAAAACGCCTCGGTAAGTAATGCTTAAAACCAGTGAAAGATGAGAAGGCTCCTGGGACTGAAACTGATAAAGGAACAAAAGAGGCTCCAGCCTGTGACTGAGAACCTTCAAGCGTGTTGTGGTTTGTTCTCTGGGTGTTCACCCGCACACCTTAGCTGCGCATTGATTGCACTTGACTGCAGCTTTCCTCCATCCTGTCTCAGCA